ATGCAAACCCAAACTGCAAATATCTTCTCTCATTAAAATCCACATGAATCCACACATTAATAGGCATGAATAAAAACCAGTATCCCTTTCCACTGTACTTGGTAACGCAGGCTTCATTCCTGGATGTGCCACTGACCCAATCCGGCCTCTACAATTTCCAGGGTACATTCTGATGGTGGATTTCAGTCAGAGCTCCTAGGCCAGGGGTTTGCCACCAAAACCAGCACATCTTGCTGCTAAATCACTTTGACACAAGGCATTTCCTGATGCAGGATACTCAGAGAGTAACAACTGAAGGATCCTGAAGTGTACATGCACTGACCCCCATCCTCCTTTCACTCACAGCTGTAAAGCCAAGTAGCAGAGTTAATAAAAGCTAAGTAGGTCAGGATATGGCAGTGAACTTTCTGGGCTAGAAAGACAAATTACTGGATGCACAATTTCTTTATTAAACTGCCAGTTAACACTTATTAAGTACAGCTTACGGCAGGCAAAAGCTGATGTCAGAATAATTTATGCAGGTCACTCTTCAAAGAGCCATCACAGCTGGTCTCACTTCAGATAGTCCTGGTACCCTACAAGCTTCTAAACCTACTCCACTTACTCAGCTCTGAATGGTGGCAAACTACAAAGCACTGCAAGTTTTAAACGTATTTTTTATATTATGATCGTGCACACAAAGGGATTAACTGGAGCACTAAGGAGGTCTCTGAATTCAGGACAAGAGCACAGTGGAAGCCCCAACTGCACAGATGCCTATTATTTTTGGAGCACTACATTCCTGAGCCACACCTCCAGCACAACTATTTCCCCAAAGCCATCCTGCTCTTTTGAAACTTGGAGCAATGCTGTTGGCTCAGGGCTGTCAGAGCTGTGGCTGGCCCAGCTTCAGGAAGCCCCAGGTACTGGTAACTGACCCAAAGAGCACCACATCCCCTTTACTGAAAAGGCACTGGCTAACAAACCCCTACTCACTCTTCTGCTTATTTGTGCATCTCCTAAAACACTGACACATTTTCAATGCCCAGGATGACATCTTCCACTTCAAGTGTCAAATCAATTATTTTTCCCCTCAGCTGATCTTTGCTACTTCCCCACTGAACCAACTTTTTCAGGTGAGCTTGAAAATGCATCGTGAGAGATTTTGAAATTTCCTACTTTAAGCTTAGTTTCAAAGAAAGAAGCAACAGCTACTCGGAAAGAAAACAAAGCCCTGGTTTAAAAAAAAAAAAAAAAAAAAAAGTCCAGAAGTCCAAACAGCCCCAAGTGTTCTTTGAGTAGTTGTTTTATCTCATGGGTTTTTCCCTGACTTTTGGGGCTCCATTTGATCACCTGTTGACCACCAGTTACACCTGTGAGGAAAAATTTCTTTCCTACTAGCACAAAGTCCTTTGAAAATTACATCTCAAAACAACTAAATTAAAAAAGCCAACATTTATCACACAAATCCTTCCATTTGCTATTTGAAATTTCTTAACTGCTAAAGTGAACAAAGGTGCTGATTTTCTTTACAGTAAAAAGTTAAATAAATAACAACTTATCAGCTTCTACAGTGCACCAACTATGCGTGAACAACAGACTTCAAGACTTCCTAATTACAACTCTGACGTGAATACTGATATTAATGCAGGTCCCAGTGCCATCCTGCAGAAAAGGTTCCAAACTCTCTAATGTGAATTCATATTTGCACAGCAGACTAGGAAACTGGAGTTGCATCCCTCAACATTTAAACTCATCCACTGACTCCTAACCAATAGCAGCCAGTGAGCAGGTTGCTTTTTAAACTCTAAAAAAAGAGTTTTGCATTGAGGCACTCCAATGCAAGCTCTGAGATCAGTTAAGACACTGCCTGAAAGAGCAATCCCTTTTGAAGGGTAATAAAGAGCAGCTCCATTTTGCTCCTACCAAAGAAAAACACAGAAGTTGTCAGGGATTTAAAGAACAAATACATTACTCTAACAAGACAGCTGAACATTCCTTCATTAATATGGAATTATCCCGAAAAAAAAACCTGAACTTTTCCACAAAATCAAGTCCTGGTGAAACAGCAGACTAAGAACACAGTGACAAAAAAATCAACCTGACCACCTATTGATCATTAAGCTAAAAACCCCTTCCACTAACAAATTACCTGGAGGCAGGAACAGATTGTCAGCCCTCAAGGCACTCTAAACAAGAAACAAAAACTGTTTTCTTAATAGGAATCTTAGCTATACAACTAAAACCTGCTGCCAGAACTTCACTGTCCAAGGAGCAAAAGCAAAGCAAAGTTTCCTGGAGACAGTTCATGAGGCTCACAGCTCACTTGATCAAACCCCCGTGGCCAAGAGGTTTTTTTTTCTGTTTTAAATTTTGCTAAGTGTAAACACAGCAACTGAGTTTTTAACCACTTTTTAGATGTGCTTTTGTCTCCAAACCTCAAAATGTGGTGACACGAACCAAAGCTGCTTCAGTACTGTCCAAACACAAGCACGAACAGCAGATTTGCAACTGATTGTGTAAAATAGAGGTGCCTGGACTCCCACTCTTCACCCAACTGTGAGACAAGCCAGAAGCTCAGAATGATTTCTTTTTTTAAGCAGACTACCTGAACAATCTATGGGAACTGTGCTGTGGTAATACACCAAAGTGTGGCTGTTCCATTTGCAATATCTGCAGTTTGCTGTTCAAGCTGGCTATCAGCTCTCACACAGTGACTCACCAAGTTCAAAGAGGGGCAAAGTTTAAGAAGGTTGGAACTTACCATAGAGAAATACATTATACTAATATTTATATTCTGGTAAATGTAATTTCTTAAAGGAAGTTTGAAAAGAAAGTAAACGGGATGTTGGAACAAAGTACAGTTCAGGTAATCACTATAAAAAACACTGTCAAAGGCAAAATCAATGCAAAAAGAAGAGGGTTCATTTAGTTTGACTTAACAATACTCCTGAGAGACTCAGGGTTTCAAGAACCAGGCACCGTGATCTTCCAGAGGATAGCGCAAGAGCTCAGCCTGAAACTGGAAACGCAAGGATGCCTCGGGTAAAAGCACAGAGACACAACAACACACTTCAAACCTCGGGGTGCACCGGAGAGACACCGCCGGTGACTCCTGCCGCTGCTGTCACCTTCCCGGGGCGAGCACATCCCGGGCAGCCCCGCAGAAGCGCCTCGCCTTCCCGCTGCCCGGGGAGGCCGCTGGAAGCACTCAGAGCGCACCGGGCCCGCTCCTGCGCCACCCGCCCGGGCTGGGGGCTCACCGCACCGTCCCCACAGCTGCGTTCCAGCCGCACCTCCCGAGCGCGGCTCTGCGCTGCCGCCGGCGGCGGGGCTGAGGGGGAGGCCGGCACTCACCAGAGCAGGGCGCAGAGCAGGAGGCAGGAGCCCAGCGGCAGGGGCCGGCGGGGAGGCTCCCTCATGGTGTGGCTGGCGCGGCCGGGCCGGGGCGGCGCATCCTCCTGCGGGCGGCGGCGCGGGGGGCACCGGGCGGCGCGGAGGGCACCGGCCGTGCCTGCGCGCGCCCCGCCCCGCGCGCGGCCGTTACTGCCCGCGGGCCCCGCCCCGCGCGCTGAGCTGGAAGGATGCGCGTCACCCGCTCCGCGCCGCCAGCCAATGGGCTCAGCGCCTCGCTGCTTAGCCCCGCCTCCCCGCCCCGCCGATTGGGCAGAGCGCCCGCCTCTCCCCGCCCCTCCAAGGACCCCGCTGTGTGAGGCGTATGCGGCAAACAAGCCGTTAAAGGGAAATCGCCATCGCGATAAACGGCGGCTGGCGGCCGAACCTCCGGCCGCGAGGCGCCTGAGGAGCGCCGCTGCCTCCGTTTCCAGCGGCATTTCAAGCACCGGCGCGCCCACGTGACATCTCTTAATTATTTCTTTTTTATTTTGATCAGGCTTCTCTACCGGCTGCCGAGCGCTGAGGCCCGCAGAGGGCATAGCCGCGCGGAGGCTGCCGGGAGTTGTAGTTCCGGACTTCCGGCCGCCATTTTCCGTCCCCCTCAGGGCTCCGTGAGGGGCAGCGGGGCCCGGTTTCACCTGAGCTCGCGGGCGCGCCCGGGATGTGTCAGTGAACATTCACATGCATCGTGGGAGCGGGGCCCGAGCAGGGAGCGCTGCTCCCGGGGGGCGCTCAGGGAGCACAGGCCCGGTAGCGTGTGGGACAGAAGCGCGGAGCCCCCCTGGCAGCGGAGCGGTGGAAGAACGCACCGGTTGTTAAGGAAACACGAGGCGGTCCTGCGGTAACCCGGCCCCAACGCGCCCATCCGCAGCAGGAAAACCTCACTGCTGCCAAAAGCAGCGGCGGGGCCGCTGAGAGAGGCGCGGGGGGAGGGCCCGGCCCGGCCCGGCGAGTGCGGCGGTGAGTCAGGAGCGATCCGCGCTCAAACGCGCACAGCGCAGGAGGCTGAGGGAGGAAGGGCAGCCCAGCCCGCAGGCAGGCTGTGAATCACGGCTGTCCCACAGCAGCAGTGTGGGAATCCAGGGCTTCCCTCTGGCTGCCCTGGCAGGGGTCAGGAACCCCCCTGGACAGAGCCCCCAGAGACACTGTCTGTGATCTCTGTCCATGGAAAAGAGTTTTCAATCTTACAGGATGAGTTACAAGCTTTGAGTGTTTGATATGAGCAATAATTAAGTGTGACACGGGTGCAAAAGTAAAATTTTAGATTTCTAGATTAGGGGTTCAAAGGGGACAAGATGGAGGAATTGGGTGTGTCTTGTCCTTTTCCTCCTTCTTCATGCCCTCCATGTTTCACTGTGGTGTTGGCATTTTTCTGTTGGTTTAGGCTGGGGACACACTGTCCAACGTAGGTGACAGATATTGGCACGTTATTGTAAATCCAGCACAGGTAGTTTGTGGTATTTAATGTTTGTACCATCCCACTGAGGGCAGAGCCCCACACGCTGCCCTGCAGGACAGAGCTGCGGCAGGGCAGCAGAACATGTTAGAGATAAACAGAATAAACAACCTTGAAACCAGCACAGACCAATTATGGCTTCTGCTTTGGCAGCGGGGCTGACAGACAGAGACTTTCTACAATCTCGGAATCATCAATACCCACAGATTCCGACACAGCAGGTCACAGCTGCTGCCTTGCACAGAGCCGCTCCAGCCCCGTGACCGGCCCGTACGGAGCCCTGCCTGCAGTCAGCCAGCAGCGGAGACCTCTGGAAAGTCTTTGCGTCTGTTCTTTCTCTGATTTTTCACCCTGTGACTTCGTGCCTTCTTTAACACATGATACTCCCTGCCCTTGTGAAATTCCCAGAGGGGCGGGAGCAGCGCAGGTCCCACCCGCTCTGTTTGAACCGGGTCCGGGAGCCTCGGGGCATTTGCCCATCCCAACAGCACAGCCTTGGCCACAAAGTGCCTGCTGGGCATGGCCAGGAGCAGAGCATCCATCTATGAAGCACTGGAAATTCAAACACCTGCTGATGTGGCTGCTGGAAGAGCTGGTAAACATTCATTAACCCATTGCTGAGTACTGCCAGCCAGAGCTCTTGGCCTCAGTGCTGCAACGGGCCATGGCTGAGCCTGTCTCCATTCCAGGGACAGGAATTGCTGCAGCCTCCCCAGCCACTGGAGAAGGCTCTGAAGCCACACTGGCTCAGCCCATGGGGCTCCCACACACTGTGATCCCGTTAGGAGTAAGCACAGCTTCGACCAAGCACAACCACAGAGCTCTCACCGAGGACACATCATGTCAGGGGAAGCTTTACAGTGCTGGGATCCTGGAGGAAAAGCCCCTTTGAGTCAGTCCCCACCAGGTATGAGCACCCCTGAGAAGAGCCTGGATCAGCCAGGCAGGGTCTTGATGTCCCCACCTCTGCCATACCCACACACCAGTGCTTGCTAAGTTTGTTTCACAATCACTGATGAGCAATTTATGAGTCAAAAAAATGACAGATTACCCAATCTCCTAGCTAGAGCCCCTAATTAACCCAAGACCCAATGGCACTGGGGTTACCAGAGAGCAAACATTTGTATGAAATGCTCAAAAACTGCTGCATGTTTGTAGCAGGGTTTGCTTTTTTTTTTTTTGCTTGCTCTTGGCCAAATTTCTCATGGAAAACCCCAGGAGGAGATGAGTAGCGCAGTTCCCAAGAAATCCTGGGGCTGAATTTGAGCTCACCCTGCATGCCCTGGGCAGGGAACATCACTCTGCTGACCAGGAATAAAATCTGGGCTGTGGTGCTTGGCACCCCGGGTAGGGAAAGCTGGAGGAGGCCACCCAAGGGACACCTTTGAAGCAGCGGGAAGGAGGAGGTGGTGCTGTTTTACCTGCCCGGTGATGGGCAGTGCTCGTCCACGGCACCCCAACATTCCAACAGGCTGGCTGTAGAGTATCCCCCAGAGATTTGGGCATTTTAGGATGACTTCTGGAGAGACAGCTGATCCTGGGGTACACCCTGGGCCTCTGCCTTTCAGCACTTTGCAGCATTTGTTTGCTGCAGTGGCAAAACCTTCTCTCCCATTCATCCCTATCTGCTCTTTACAAAGGCTTTTTGTTTCCCCAAGTGTTGCCTTTTTTCTTTTTTTTTTTTCTTTCCCACATGTGATTTAATTCACACAAACTCCTTCCTCTTCTGACTATTGATCTTGGCTCCTTACTGGTTAAAATAAACTAAATCTTTCATAAGCAGGTTCTGACAACACAACTTTTGTTCCTTCCAGACACAATTTCCTGTTTAATTTCCTGACTGTTTCTTACTTGGTAAAGGAAAAGCTGTAAATTGCAAGATTGCTTCAGAGACCTTCCTCTGACTTCAGATGAACCGTTAACCAGTTGCAGGAGAGAATCCAGCAAAGCAGCACAAAACTTGTAAAAAAAAAAAAAATCAATTTTTTTTATATCTCCGGCGATTCCCACCGAAAGGAAGGCTGTGCAAAAATTAAAGGTTGGAATAATTTTCCTTGGAAAATCAAACAGGAGCAACTCCACCTCCAGCTGAGCAGGTAATTGCTCTTTCATCACTCAGCAAACTGCCTGTGACACATGGGCTGTGCCTCCGTGGTCTCACATGGGCACGCAGGGACACGGTGACACCGGCTGGGGCTGCCTGACCCGGTGCAGGAGAGCCACTGCTCAGATCTGCAGCCAGCAGCCCCAGCCCTGCCTGGAAGAGCCCTGAATTGTGGCACAGGTGGCACGGTGCCACGGCTCCAAAAGCAGGATGGAGCCAGGAGCACCCGTGCCAGCCCCTTGGGCAGCTCTTGCAGGGCACAGCCGTGTCCAGGTATCCTCCACTTGGCTCTGAGTCCCCTCTTTAGTGGGGACTTAGTGAGGTTTTAGCTCAAAACCTGGAAGTCAAAACTTCATGTAAAATGAAGAAAATGAATTGAGGTGGGAATGTCACTTTTGAAATTGTTTTTATTTTGGCTTCTCATTTCATGTGGCTAAATTTTAACTTTGCCTCGAAATGGGAGATAAAATGATCGCTCCAGTGGGGATGCCCAGGCAGGGCAGAGCTGCAGCATCTCCTGGCCCTGCTGCAGAACCACAGAGCCTCTGCATGACAGCAAACACTCTTTCCTACAGCCAGTGCTTGGGAATGGATGGAAAACGGCTTCCAGGGGAAGGGATCCACCTTATCCTAGCCTGGCTGGCAGGTGTTCCAGGCACAACTTCAGCAGCAGCTGGCTGTGACACCAGTGCAAAGCTCTGGTGCTGGAGAAGACAACGTGCTCAGCCACTGGGGAGCTTCTCTTACTGTCTGATAGGGCTGATGGAACAGGGAAAGTCCAAAGGCTGCTGACAGCTGGGACACAGAGAATCCACATTAATTCCTGCTCTCAAGATGGAAATGTGGTGTGGGCCTGGGTGCTTGCAGTGGGGTGAGCCGTGCTGGGTGTCTTGGTGCCCCTGGTGCTTCCCAACACCTGCTGTCTGAGCCCCCCTGGGAAAAGAAAGTCAAATTTCACTGCAGAAACCGAGAAACGGCAAAACTTCACAATGAAAGTGTGAAGCTTTTTTTAGCCTTCATTTCTGGGAGGACAGCGTGGGCTGAAGCTTCCCCTTCCCTCTTCCCCCTCTGCCCTGGGGCGAGAGGAAGGGCTGGGAAAGCACCTGGTGCAGCCCGGGGCCAGTTTCCTCTATGGCCCTGTGCAAATCAAGGCCACAGTGGGGGATGTCACAAGTGCCTGGTCCAGGGCAGGGCATCCGTGGCTTTCTCAGCACAAACCCAAAGCTGAGACCCATCCCCGGGCTGGGGGGTGCACAGAGCCCTGGGCAGCAGTGCCAGAACATGGGAGGGTGGCACAGCCCACACAGGAGCACCAGCACCCCTGCTGGATCCCAGTGGTGGGGATGAGGGACCCAAAGGGCTGAGCAGGCACACACAGGGAGCCCCACAGGCTCAGCCACCTCCCTTCCCCTTTCTGCCGACTGCTGAAACAAAGCAAATTCCCACCTGGCCCCATCCCCTCCCTGCCAGCTATGTACAAACAGGCAGAGGGGTCGGGGAGTGGCTGGCAGCAGGAGTGTCACTCCTCAGGGACTCCTGCTCCAAGGGAACAGAATACCGGGCAGCCCCTCCCCCTGGTTTGGGAGCTGGTGTTGCAGGGAGAAGCACTGCAGGTGTGAAAAACTCCTCAGCCCCACATCACTCCTCTTACCGAGCACCTGGGCTCCTGCTTGGAGCTCCAGGGGAGAGGGCAGGAAGGGCTCCTGCTGTATCTCCTGGGAAATCACTGTTTCCAGACTGAGGCCACGCTGTGTTTGAACAAAAGCTTCTTTATTCTTTACTAGGCAAATGGGAAGGTGAGCATAGAGCAGGATCCTCTCACAGCACACCAGGCTGAAACAGGGAGTTGCAACCTCTTTTTGACCTGTGCACACCAAGTTTTTCCGCAGCTACACTTCCTAGAAAAACCAACAGTGTGTGCATACACGGTTTCATCCAATATCCCCCTCCCCATTTACAGATTGAAAATATCTCCATGGCAGACATACAAACCTTGTTAGAAACTCTGGGTCCTTCACACTTCTCCCTCTGTGTCCCAGAGCTGCAAGGGGAGGGAAGTGGCTGCTGTAGGAGGCTCGGGGCAGGCAGAGTTGGTGCTGGGGAGCTGCTGTGGGGCTCCATCCCTTGGGGGGACATTGCTTTTGCCCTCTGGGCAGTTGGGTTTTCCGTGTTTTGCCACTTGCAGCTCTTGATGCCTTTCCACCAACTGTGGAAGAGCTGGGTCAGCAGTTCACATCCCATCCCTACGCTACACATTTAGGGCTAAACAAGATTTTGGAGCCCCCACCCTGCTGTGCCAGGTCTTGGAGACACCTGTGTGGACTGTAAGACCTTCCTTGTTCCCAAACCTCAGTTTCCACCTTCCAGCTTCCATGACAATCCATGCTCAGGTCCCAGGGGCAGTTTTATTATTTTATCCCCAGGTCTGGTTTCCTCCCTGCATCTCTTGTGCTAGAGATGTGCCACATACAGCTGAAGGCTGAGCTGAGCTTACCTGAGCTGCTGAAGTTTGGACTCATCCCACCCTGGATCACCCTGCAACTGGCAGAGCACATTGCTGATGTCACCTTTGGCTGTAGTTTCCTAGGGGTTTTCTTTTTTAAAAGCAGATTATAACCAAAAACATCTTTATTAGGTGACAGCTTGACCCTGATGGAGTTCCCCTACTGCCCTGGAGCTGGCCAGGCCCTGGGCTGGGCTGGCTTGTCCCTTTTTCCAGAGCTTGGAGTGCGTGCTGGGGAGGCTCCAGAGGGCTGTGGAGATCCATGCTGACCGTCAGGGAATGCCAGGAGCGAGGGAGCTCAGTTTCACAGCCCCCCCACGTGCTGTGTTCCAGAGGTCACATCCCTGCAGACACGTACCTTTCCACATGTCATCTCTCCTGCCCCACATTCTCAGCCAGATCCTCAGCCTTCTCCCTCTGCAACAGGCTCAGCAAATCCCAAGCCTTGCCCAGGCAGATGCCAGTCCGGTGTGGGCTTCTCAGACCCAATCCCATTTTCCTGGACTGCTCAGCCCGGCTCTGAGCAGGGTTTCTCCAGCAGCCTTGGTACCTCCTCATCTCAGCTCAGGAAATCTGACCTGCACACAGGAAAGGGAGAGCCTGGGAGACTCCTCCATGTCCGGGCCCTGCAGGGCTCCCCGGGCAAGCAGCCCAGTCTGCCCCAGTATCCCCCCAGGGGGCTCAGCCCAGCTGCAAGGCACTGGGCTGGTGTCGTCCCAGTCCGTGCTGGGGACTGAATCCAAACAGTCCTTAAATAGGTGACTGCAGGAGAGCAGGCATAGCCTGTGTCATGGGGCCTTTTAAGGCAGGAGACACCTCTGGACATGGAAAAATGCAGCAGCTGGAGCTGCACCAACCTCCCCCCTCCCTGAACAACATTCCTGTGAGGGAGGGTTTGGCTCCAGGGTCAAAGGGGAAGGCTGGGGGATGGCTTGGCAGAGAAACAGGCCCAAGAATCCATGGCTGTGCTGTGTCATTCCTGTGGGGTGACACGCAGGGATGCGGGGGAAGAGCCCTGTCTGAGGGACAGGGAGAGGTAGAGGATCCGTCCTCATGCGTGCAGCCTCAGGCCGCTCGGAGCCTTAGCAGAGTGTGCTGCTCCGTTATTGTGAGGCCTGTCCCTGCAGCACAAGTGATGGGCCCGTCCCAGGGGGAATCAGACACACCTGGAGGCAGCCCTGAGCCAGCGGTGGGGGTGCAGTGCCTGCCGTACTTTGATACTCAAATATCTCCAGTGGAGGTCCAGAGCAATCCCAGCTATTTCAGTTCCAGCCTGTCACCTTTTCCAGCCTTCCCTCCAAACAACTTCAGCAGTGTATCCCAACATTCAGAGGCGGCAGACACTGAACAAACACATAGTGGGGTCCCTTTGCAGGAGGTAGGGCAGAGCCAAGCCTCAGCATACACAGAGTTTGTAGGACCATGGCACCCAGCTCCTCATCCCTGCATTTCAGCAGAGGAGCTCCAAGCACCCCAAGCCACCCCACAGCCTCTCCAAAGGCCAGTGGCACTTGGAGGTTTGTGAGGTGAGGGAGGTCTTGTGGCAGGGAACCCAGAGTGGGAATTTAGATGCTCACAAAGGACTTTTGTGTGGGAATCCAGGGCTTCCTTCTGGCTGCCCTGGCAAGTCTGGGACCCTGGCAGGGGTCAGGAACCCCCCTGGACAGAGCCCCCAGAGACACTGTCTGTGATCTCTGTCCATGGAGAGGAGTTTCCAATCTTACAGGATGAATTACAAGCTTTGAGTGTTTGGTAAGAGTAATAATTAAGTGTGACACGGGTGCAAAAGTAAAATTTTTGGTTTCTAGATTAGGGGTTCAGAGGGGACAAGATGGAGGAAATTGGGTGTGTCTTGTCCTTTTTCTCCTTCTTCATGCCCTCCATGTTTCACTGCGGTGTTGGCATTTTTCTGTTGGTTCAGGCTGGGGACACACTGTCCAACGTAGGTGACAGATATTGGCACATTATTGTAAATCCAGCACAGGTAGTTTCTGGTATTTAATGTTTGTAACATCCCACTGAGGGCAGAGCCCCACACGCTGCCCTGCAGGACAGAGCTGCGGCAGGGCAGCAGAACATGTTAGAGATAAACAGAATAAACAACCTTGAAACCAGCACAGACCAATTATGGCTTCTGCTTTGGCAACGGGGCAGAAAGACAGAGACTTTCTACAATCTCGGAATCATCAATACCCACAGATTCCCACACTTTTGTATTCTTGACCTTAGCTGTTGCTTATCCCTGCCAGGAGAGCTCCCAGGAGGGGTGAGAGATGACTCCATGGCACAAGGTCCCCTCTGAGCAGCAGGGCTGGCTGGTGACAGTGACGTGGCGGGTCCCGTGGCGAGTCCCCGGGACAGCTGTGCAGGCAAAGTCTGGGCCACCTGGGCAGGGCTGAGCTGCCCTTTGCACCGTGGCCGGTTCCATCACACGTGGCAGTCACACGCTGTCCCCTCCCAGGGACACAGTGCCAGCACAGCAGTGGCAGCTGCTTCGTCCCAGACCTTGCTGGGGTCTCCCAGGCACCGGGTGGCATTGCCAGGGGGGCAGAGCCAACGGCAGAGAGATCTTCTTGTCTGGCTGGGCACCCGTGTGGGGCTCCAGCTGCCCTGCTGGATCTGCCAGAGGGGTTTGGCTTTGCTGGCATCACCCAGCGTGGCTCAGGAGAGCTGTGAGTCACGGACCTGCCCCAGCCTCCCACCTCTCCCTGCCTCCAAAGGCACTTTGCTGGCCCCCAGCAGAGATTTGAAAGGGCACACAAAGTACCCCTCATCTCTGTTCTCTCCACTGAGGTTTCTACGTGAACCTGACCACGTGGAAGCAGCCTCATGCTCCAGCCCAGCCTGCTCTTCTTGGTCCCCAAAGATCACAGATGTGCAGAGAGCCCAGGGCCAGGTTACAGCAAACCTGCTGTCACCATCCACAGCGAGAGTGCAGTGCCCGTGCCCGTGGGAGATGGAATTCCTCATCTGTGGTGGTCGTGCCACTTTCCAGAGCAGCAGGAATGGCACTCTGCTCTCCCAGCTTTCCTCCTGCATGCCCCAGCTTTACTCTGTGACTTTGGGAGAAGGACATTTCGTTCAAAATCTCAAGTTCCCAGGCCCTGGGCATCAAGGCAATGCCAGCAATCACAGGAGCTGGCAGCACTCCCTGTCCCTGTGGGCACTGCCTTGTGCACATGGAGCCATGTGCATGCCTCTGTGCAAAGCGTGGGGCTGGGGGCTTTTAGGGAGGGCAGCTGAAAGTGAGTCCAGCCCCATCCTGGCTTGGAGCCTGCTGGCATTGCCCCTTGGCATGGGCTACCTGCACAGGGCGAGCAGCTGCTTCTGCCCTGCCGAGCAAGTGCAGTGACACGGGGCTGGGAGGTGACACTTTTGAGATGTCACTGTGGTGTGGCTCAGCCTGAGATCCCCCACAGGCACAGCAGCAGTGTGGGTGTTACCTGCTGCTCTGCACGTATCTGCATGAGGTGGGATCTGTTTGCAGAGTCTCCTGTGGCAGGCTCTGGGTGAAAACAACCGGCAGTTCCTCTGCCTGCTGCCGCTGGGACAGCAGGGCCATGAACGCCCCTTCCCACAGCACAAACAGGGCACTGCTCAGGGCTGCTTTGCCCCGGGCAGAGGCCTCTCGGCTGAGGCCAAATTAAGCATCTCTCCGGGGCTGGGAAGGCTCTGACCTGAGCACAAGCAAACACAGGCTTGGGGAAAACACCTCTGGCCTCTGTGAAACCTCCCTTAATCCTCCCTGTCCTCTTGCTGCACCTGCTGAGTCCCTTTGGCGTGGACATGGGCAGCACAGGAGATGGATGGCAGTCCCTGCAGAGCTGCACCTCTCCAGCACTGCTTTCCTCCTCCCGCTCCTCTCTCGGGCAGGGCAGGACTGAGCTGTGAGCAGGCAGGAGCTTCAGGGAAAGGGCGTCCTGTAGCATCACACCCACATTCCTGAGCTGGCTGCTGGAGCCTGGTTTGGCCAGAAAAGCAGGACCGGGGCACGGAGTGGGGCTTGCAGCACGGGCTGAGGTCACGCTCCCAGCAGCACCGGGATATCCAAGCACAGAGAGGCCCTGGCTAAACCCCATCGGCCGGCTCTGCCCTTCTGGGCGGCTGCCTTTGGGCTGCAGGGAGACAGCCCTTGGCCACGGTGTGGGAGCAGGGCAGCAGCATCCCTCCTGCCCGCTGGGCAGAAGCGAGACAGCCCCAGCAGGCACCGGCAGCAGCTGCGAGAGGGACACGGCCTTGCGGCTCTCGGGATGGGCAGATCCCAGCACGGAGCTGCGGTGGGGCTTAACCCACCCCCAGAAGCTGCTGAAGCTCACACGGGGCGGGAGCGCAGCCCGGGGTGGGGGGCGACCCCTCTCAGGCGTGACGGTGCCCGGACCCGAGTGCCGGTCCCGCCCGTGTCCCGGGTTCCGGTCCGTGTCCCGGGTTCCGGCCCGTGTCCCGGTTTCCCGCCCGTGTCCCGGTTCCGGCCCGTGTCCCGGGTTCCGGCCCGTGTCCCGGGTTCCGGCCCATGTCCCGGTTTCCCGCCCGTGTCCCGGGTTCCGGCCCGTGTCCCGGTTTCCCGCCCGTGTCCCGGGCTCCGGCCCGTGTCCCGGTTCCGGCCCATGTCCCGGTTTCCCGCCCGTGTCCCGGTTTCCCGCCCGTGTCCCGGGCTCCGGCCCGTGTCCCGGGTTCCGGCCCGTGTCCCGGGTTCCGGCCCATGTCCCGGGTTCCCGCCCGTGTCCCGGGCTCCGGCCGGGAGGTGGCGGCCGCGAGCGCCCCGGCGTTCCTTGCGCCACCTCCGGCGGCGGCGGCGGGGCCGGGCCGGGGCTGCGGAGCGCCCCTGGCCCGTGGCGGGGCCATGGAGCCGGTGCCCGGGCGGCGGTGGCAGAAGGTGCTGTACGAGCGCCAGCCTTTCCCCGATAACTACGTGGACCAGCGGTTCCTGGAGGAGCTGCGGAAGAACGTGCACGCCCGGCAGTACCGGTACCAGGCCGTGGTCTTCCAGTCGGGAGCCGTGGTGCAGCAGCTGTGCAGCGTCTGCGTCTTCGTGCTCACCTGGTGGTACATGGACGCCGGGATGCTGAGCCCGCAGGGGCTGTTCGGAGCGGCGCTGGTGTCCTCCCTGCTCGGCTATGTCCTGTTCGATGCCGTGGACGGCGGGGCCGGGCGCTGGGCGAGCGGGCGGACGCGCTGGGCTGACCTCAAGAGCACACTGGTGTTCGCCGCCTTCACCTACGGCTTCTCGCCGGTGCTGAAGACGCTGACCGAGTCCATCAGCACGGACACCATCTACGCCATGTCGGCCCTCATGCTCCTGGGGCACCTCATCTTCTTCGACTACGGCGCCAACGCTGCCATCGTGTCCAGCACGCTGTCCCTCAACATGGCCATCTTCGCCTCGGTGTGCCTGGCCTCGCGCCTGCCTCGCTCCCTGCACGCCTTCGTCATGGTGACCTTCGCCATGCAGATCTTCGCGCTGTGGCCCATGCTGCAGAAGAAGCTGAAGGCCCGGACGCCCCGGTGCTACGTGGGGGTGACGGTGCTCTTTGCACTGGCGGCGCTGGCGGGGCTGGCCACGGTGTCCAGCGTGGGCGCCGTGCTCTTCGCCTCCCTGCTGCTCGCCATCTCCTGCCTCTGCCCCTACTGCCTCATCCGCCTCCAGCTGCTCAAGGACAACATCCACGGGCCGTGGGATGAGGCTGAAATCAAGGAGGACCTCTCCAGGTTCCTCATGTAGGCCTGGCCCAGGGGGACCCTCTGCTGTGAGCTGTGAAAGGTCCTGGCTGGGGGACAACCCTGTGGGGGAGGACATCTGAGCCAATAAATCTGTCACACGGCAACAAGGACCGCTCTTGTGTTCCCCACAGGACGTGTTTCCAGCCCTGTCTTGCGTGGGTGTGGAGAAGGAAGGAGCTGAGCCCGCAGGGGTGCGGGCAGGCGGGGAGGAGTCGGCTCTGGCCATGCAGACCCATCCCCCGGGTACAGGGGATGTGTCCCACGGTGTCCTCAGCCGCAGGAGCCTCAGGGGGTGCTGGGCACTGCCACACTCCAGGGGAGGCTGGAGGGCAGGGCTGCTGATGGAGCTGCAGGGCCGAGCACCAGGGCTCCAATGGGGGCAGAGCCATCCTCACCTGCGCCGTGGCCCTTGTGGGTGCCCAAATAGCCTCACACCACCGCCAGACACCACATTACCCCAAATCCCTTAGGAGATGGGGGGTGAGAGGGTCCGTGTGTCCGGCAGCGCTCCCACCACAACAGAGGGCGCTCCCGGCCAAGGAGTGCCGCTGGAGCCCGGCAGGACGGGCGGCCCCGCTGCGGGACTCCCGGCGCTTTCCCTGGCCCCGTCCCTGTCCCCCGGCAAGCCCAGGGGAGCAGAGCCCTGCAGGAGCCAAGGGATGCCCACACCTGCCCCAGCCCCATCTCCCAGGGCTGCATTTGGCATCGCCCCGGTGCCTATGGAACTTCTCTTTCGGAAAAGCTGCAGGAGTGCAGCTTCTGCTCCATTTTGCCCGTCGCAGCGAGCTGGCGCTTTTCGGCGCTCCTCGGCCTTTCTCGGAAATGAGCAACCCCCGGCGGAGTCCCCAACACCTCCAGTGCTTTGTTACTGCTCTTGCCAAGTGTTAAATGTTGCTGCTGTCGCCGTGGTAACGACTACATCTCATTTTGCTTTTAATTAAAACCTGTAGAAGTTTGGAGCCTGTGCTCAGGTCTCGCAGGGAGCACAGAGTAGCCAGATGCTCAGTCAATATGACATTTTTTAGCTCTGCAGGAAGGAGACTGTTTTGTCACAGGGGGGTTTCCCAGAAAGCTGCTCGGTGACCCCGATATCCCATCTGAGACTGGGTTAATGCCAGCGTAACGCTGCCATCCCAAAAAGATTCACAGAGCAAGGCTGGACTGTAAATCAAAAATAAACCAAATCTCGTCTGCTTGGCCCCAGGCTATCACAGCAGAGGCTGCGAGAAAACAGAGTTTCTGTTGCACCCACTCCTCCATGGGGAGATACTTCCCCACAAAGTACCTTTCCCAAATTGACACTGTCAAAAGCAGCTGTGGGTTAGGAACACTGCAAGCATTGACCACTCAAACATTTCAGGAGGTGGAGATGGGCACAGGCTGCCACCTTCCCCTCAGCCGGAGCAGGACCTGTGCAGATCCGGGGACTCGGATGCAGCAGCTCCATCCCCCAGCTCCAGGGGATGCAGACTGTGTCCCACCCAGCCCTGCCTGCTGCCCACAGCCCCAGACCTCTCTGCTCTGCCCCATCCTTCCCTTCATCTCCTTAGAACGAGCCATAGGATTCTAGAATTAGATTACAACGGCCTCAGTCCTTGCCCGGAGACCCACTGGGGAAAGGCTCAGCCCTCCCCTCACCTGCCCACAAAGATGCTCTGCCCACCCTAACCTGGGAAATGAAACCAAAACCCACAGCCTGGATGCACAAAGGGCTTTGAAGGAAGGAGGAATGCAGAAGAGAGCCAGGGCAGGCAGGGTTTCCCTAGGACTTCCCTGACCTTCTCCTGAGGAGGTGTGCTCTGCAGTGCTGTTGCTATTTAAGCTGCTGTACAAATGGCCATTATTGGTGTGTCTGCATGCCTGAGGTCAGAGTACCCTCTACAGAGCAGGATTTGGCCATAACTCTACATTTACTCTAAAGCTGGATGTCCTTTGGGCATTTGCTCCCTGAGCAAACCCCAACTGAGACCCAAGAAGTGGGACCTTGGCTGTTGATGCAACAAACACTTCATCAACCAACCCTAAGGGGTTAAATGTTCTTTTGCATTCCAAGTCTCTTTCTCTTAAGGTTCAGTCCCTGAGATCAGTCCTTTCATGGGACTTTTGGTTTGAAGCTGGCCAAATGTGAGTAGTGTGAAGTGGCTGGGGATCAGCCTGGCTCCTGGGGGAGCTGCTGACACGTGCCAGCTGGGATCTCCATCTCCAGCTTTGCTGCAGGGAAAACCAGTGTCAGCCACCCACCCCGCGCTGTCAGGGGCCCACGTCCCTCCCCTCGTGGGGGCCTGGATCTGGGAAGCCTGTGAAGAACAAAGCTCGGCTCTTTGATCAGGAAACCAAAACAGGATTTTGGTCCTAACCCATCCACTGCCCTGTAGTGTCACTGGTGCAGCAGCCTTGTCCTTCTGTCCCTGGCCACACCACCAGGGCAGGCTGCAGACTGCACAGACAAGGTGAAACAGCTTCTTCAGAAAGCCACCCTGCGAGCTGATGCTGAAGAATGTGCCAGGGTTTCCCAGCACACCAGCTCCTGTGCCTTTCTACTGAATAGATTTTAGAAATGCCTACCATAAACCCATGGAATCTCGAGTCCTATTTTCAACAATATTTTTTACTAAATATTTTGTAAGAAGGTAAAGATTTGTGTGGAGGATTTACCAGCACAAAACGCCCCAAGAGACCAGTTTGTGCCTTCCAGCCTAATGTGTGGAGGCCAGCAGGCAGCTGGGAGCTCAGCAACAGCTCCTGGCTGGGTTTTGTGGTCAGGCCATTGAACTAAAATATCATCCACCTTTTATCTGCTGTTGGTACCGTGTTGTAGCACAGAGAATGGATTGCAGGGAGAGCTTCCCCCAGCACAGAACGGATTTTTGAACAACCTGGAGAAAAAGCAGCTTGTAAAGTTCAGTCTATCCCCCTTTTACCTGAGGCATGGGCAGAACCTCCTCAAGAGCTCACCAGGTACAAACACTGTTGCTTCTGCAGTACTCCTGACAGTGCACAGTTCCTGAACTCTGCTGAGGAGTTTCTGCCTCAGCACCTGATGGGTTCCACAGGTGAAAGCTACAGCCACCCTCAGCTACTCCATGCTTGGGAGTAGCTTTCCTGGAACTGTAGATCCAGTTGTCTTCCAGTTGTTTTCCTGGAACTGTAGGTCTCCATTGCTCCTGGCCCAGTCCCAGCAATTCCTAGTTTAGCACATGCAGTTCAAAGGTATAGCACTTCTTACTACACCGTTGCTGTTTCTCTCCTCTTGGTCTACCAAAAGACCAAGTGAGAAGTCAGAAGAAGGAAAATTGTCTATAAGTCTACAGCTTTCTGGGTTTATATCCCCTTCTATTTTGAGCAAACTCAGTGTCTGGTATTTACCAGCTCATACAGGTGGTTCAGCAGCTCCCTGGATATTTTAGAGGTCAGCGGGACCTCAGTCAGCCGCAACAAGAACTGCCCAAATTCAGCAAAGCTGTGTCAGACCAGCCGTGGCAACAAGCACAGGCTGGCTGTCACCTGGCCCTCCTGCACACACACAGATCTCATCCCCTCCTCTGCCCCACCCCGAGCAGAGCCCTGCAGCTCCCTGCCCCCATGCCCTCCCTGCTGCCCTGCAACACCAAGGCCAGTGCCCAGTGGTGCCTCCTGATTTACCTGCATGGTTTGTGAGATTCCCCCTTGGCTTTCCTGGGAGGAAAAACCCAGTTAAACCCATTGACTCCTCATAGACTTCTCTGGCACCCAAAACAAGCACATCATCTAAATCCCAGACTTTCTCTTTCCCACAGGGATGGACACATTTGGAATCCCAGAAGTAGCTCCTTACAGCTGTTTGAGCTCAGATGCTCCAGCGAGATCGGCTTGCAAGGAATTCAGCGGTTTAGCTTGAAGAAAATGGTCAGAACAGCTGCAATTTATTTATAATTGTGCAGATTAATCAGTCTAGGAACTGTCTAGAGATTGCTGCTCTTTTGAGTTTCCGCTCAGCCAGGTGCTGCTGCTGGTGCACTGGACATGTTTTGGAACTCTGCTGGCTGCTCTTCCTGCTAATGCTAAGCCAAAGCCATTGATATGGAGCAATCCTGGTGCTGAATGCATTCAGAAATGTTGGAACTCCAGCAGAATGTCCATCCCTCACTCCACAACCTTGGAGAGTGGGAGCCTCCACAGAGCCCAGGTAATTTCTCCCACAGGGTAAGAATGTCTCAGTGTGAGAAAGAGTGAGTAGACCCTCCAATACAAACACAGGACACACTCCTTTTGTAGTCACAATTTTATTTTCTTTACATCCAGGCTTATCATTGACATCTGAAAATAAAATATTTCATTTACAAATAGGCTAGTGCAAATTAAAGGTAATTTTGGATTAAAAAAAAAAGAAGACATTGCATGTAACACAAAAGAAATGTGTGTGTTAGGATGATCTTCCTGGAACAGCTGGTGGAGGTCGCCTAGGGAAAAACCAAAAAATAACCCAAAAATCACAAGGAGAGGGGTAGATTTAAAACAAAAGGCCAAGACACAATAAAATGACTCATATACAAAATTATCTTAATAAAATGGGTTAAGACAAAAAGGCACAGAACATGCATATTAAGGAAAAGAGCAAGAGCAAGATTAGAATCAGCTGGCTCTCAGCACAGCCTGGCTTTCATCCTCACTGCCTCCCTTCTGCCTTGCCAGTGCCAGAGAAGCAGAACAATCCCATCCCAGGTGTGGAGGTCACTGGTCACAGGCTTTCTAATTCTCTCGCAGCAAGTTATACCCTCTGCAAGAGCTATTCCCCAGGCAGCCTTAAAATTCTCACCACTGTTCCTGAGCAGAACTGCTGTGGGGCTCTGATGAAATGAGGAATGATCAAACAGGATGGCCCATGGGGTGGGCTGGGGTGTCAAGAGGGGACATTGCTGGGACAGGTCCCAGACAAAGCTGGGGAGCCCCGTGGCAGGGAGGGCTCAGGGCACAGAGCAGCTGCACCCCCTGGTACCCAGCACAGAGCACTCAGCTCCACCTGACCAACATTCCTGGAACCAGGCTCATCCAGGGGGACCTGACTGCTCCAGCCAGAGGGGACACGTGTGACACTGCTGTTCCCTCAGGGAGAGTCACAGACTAC